GTAGCTGCATAATGCAAATAATCTTTCAAAAGGATTGATTAAAGACGTAACAACATATAGTTTATCAGATGAATCAAGCACATAACATTTCTAACACATGAAGGTTGTGTTTTAAATCACGGTCTTGGTGTCTGCACCTTCAATTGGCTTTCTCAATACTTCTGAACTTCTTCAAACTAACTTGACCCATTTAGCACAATACGTTTTTTATTAAACAACCTTCATTTTGAAATGTTTTAATGGTGCCTTTATTCCTGCTAATCTATTTTTACCTTCTTTTAAATCAATCTTTGAAAAGTATTTTGCATTATGCAACTCTGGGAGGATTTCTTCAACTTTTGGAATCTGGTGTCTTTCTCTTACTATGGCTTCATTGGCTCTTCTCATATCTAAACATAATCTTATGGTTCCATTTGGCTTTGGTACTACTACTATTGGGTTTATCCAGGTACTCGGACCTTTAACTTTCTCTATGCAGTCATTTTTCAACAATCTTTCTAGTTCTGCAGAAACTTTCTTTCTTGTATGATATGGTAATCTTCTGATTGGCTGCTGAACGGAATGAAATTTTCATCAATATGTAGTTTTAACTTGTAGTCTTTGAATTTACCCATGCCTTCAAATACTTCTCTGTTGTTGTCCAGAACTTTCTGAATCTTAGGATCTATTTTGTGTTCAGTTGGCTTTTCTTGACTGATTTCATTTACTGATTTGTGAAGTGAATTTGTTGGATCTGCTTTAGAACCTAGAACTGGGCCTACTCTTAAAATATCAAGCTTTTCTGCTGTCTTTTGTCCTAGCAATGCTCCCCCTGAACCTTTTGTGACATAGAATTTTGCTTGGGTTTCTTTCCCAAATGCTTCAGCTTTTGCTCTGAATGTTCCTTTTAGTTTCAATGGTTCTTTGCCTAGATAAGTGAATATCTTAGTCTTGCTGCTTTCAAGTTGTGGTTTTTTTGGCAATTTCTGAAATGATATCTCATCAATGATGTTCAATGTTGATCCACTGTCAATGAGCATATTTATTGGTGTGCCATCTATATAGACTGGATATACTGGTCTTTCCTTGCTTCCAATTTTGAATACTGGTGTTTCATCATCACTTGAACTTTCTGTTGTGACTTTACTTGCTCTCACTTGATGATTTTCTGGTTTCTTTGGATTTTGGGTCTTGCAGCATTTTGCAAAGTGTCCCATAATTCCACATTTCATGCACTTTCTTCCTTTTGTCACTCTACAGTCTTTACTGTTGTGATTCTTCATTCCACATCTTCCACATTGTTCCCTTTGTTGAGTGTATTTTTGATTTCTGTTTGCTTGCCTACCTTTGTGCTGGTATTTATTTGGCCTTATTTTATTCAGGTCTGAGAAAGATTCTTTCATTGTGTCAGCTGATGAGCCTGCACCATTTTGTTGTTCTATCTTCTTTGTCTGAAGGTCTGATTGTTCCATGAGCTTTCCTATTGTTAGAACTTTATCTAATGTGAGATCTGGCTCTTGTAGCAATCTTTTTCTAAGCTTACTTGATTTGCATTTTGCTATTACTTGATCTCTTATCTCATCTTGTGTTGCATCACCATATTCACAATGAATGATTAACTTTTTCAACCTAGTGACATATGAATCTATGTTCTCTCCTGTTTCTTGACCTGTTTCATGAAATACACATCTTTCAAATGGAATATTTTTCTTGATATCAAAATGACTATCTAACTTATTTACTGCCTGGTCATATGTTGTGCCTACCTCACCTAATGTTTCAAATATGTCTTGCACTTCATCTCCTACAAGATGCAAAAGTGCTGCCCTCTTTTGGCTATCATTTTGAATACCTGTTGCATTCAGAAAATAAACGAACGATTTCTTCCATTTTTGCCATCTTTGACTTACCGTGGAAGGATCTCCTTTTGGATCAAATTCCTTAACTGGAGGTAATTGAATCGATACTGGTTGAGGTTGCTGCGCCTGGCCTATTTGATTATCGTTTTCTTCCATATCTCGTATTCTCTTGTCGAAATTATTACTTTCTAATCCTTCTTTGGGTTCTTTAGATAACTCGTCGCCATAATATGTTGTGTATGCGCGCGCGATGCCTAAGATCCGCTGCGACCTAACGCTAGACCTAGAGAGCACACGAGACAAGACGCCATGTTTTCACTCCGACCCTGATCTAATCTCCTCTATCAACTCCAATCCGAGGCTAATATAAAATGGTTTATGCCTAATACATTACACTGTCTAACACTTCCCCTTCGCTCCAGCGTCTATCTATCACGCCCCCTCTCCGCTGTCAATTTAGTAGTACGCCGTATTGGATTTGCTTATTGTTTGCCTTTTGTTAACCACAGAATAATTGGCTCTACCAAATATGGATAGTAACAATCGTGCCACACTAGATATAAATAGAAATATGCGCGCACATTTTTAAACAATATGTTTTGAGACCAAATGGCTGTGCTTTTGTTATTGTGCCACGGTCGAGGCTCTGTATGCTTCTGTTGAGGCCCGAGAAATGTGTATTGAAATCAATTGCATCGAGGCTCCGTATGTTCTTTCATTGGGTGGCACCGTGGCACAAATATTTAAAAAATGTGCTGTCGAGTTGTGATTCCGGTGATACTGGGTGCCTAATAAGTCTCTCTTGAAAACAAACAAAACGTGTTCGGTCTGCAGGAAACTGACGATTCAGCACGCAAGAATTTTATTGAGTTCGAATTTGATTTGAGTTTATTGCAAGGATTCCCCTTGCTCTGGCAATGAATATTCAAAGAATAGTTGAAAAATTTATTAAATCGCGAGATCATGCAACTTTGAAGGAACTTTAAGTGGACGAGCTGTCGAAGCTTCGCAAAAGTATGCCTAGTTTAATTTGTCAAGAATTTGATCTGGCTAAAGATAAAGACAATTTGATCTGTCAGTTGTAAGAACTAGCCATTATTTATAAATTTGTAAATGTATATTATTTAAGTGCGTCCAGTGACTAGCCTACATCAGTTTGCATCGTTATTTGTTTGCAAGTTGAAAACATAGAGCCAGTATTGTTTAATGATAAAACGACAGGAGCGGTGACAGCTTTGTGTTAAATGTAACTATGTTTTCGGTATAAAAGCTATACCTGTCTCTGTATGCTCAGACTGGGCGTTTCCCAAAGACTAGAGGGCGTGGTCACCCAAAAAAAAATCTTGGGGCCAAGCCCCCCCGGACCCCCACTGTTCTTGTGCCACGGTCATGATTTTTTCTGCGTCCGCCCCTGCATTTCATATACTGAAATGCCTAGAACTAGCCTGCATCCCAGTCCACAAATGCTTCCACATTTATGGACTGCAATATTGATAAATTCCCTTTCCAGGCAGAGGGCTGGGTCTAGTTTATAAATAAATTAATGCAATTAATCCATTGAAATGTGGCATGGAAAATCCTCGAAGAAATATGCACTGAAACCAAACAGACAGATAAGATGGTGCATGGTGAGTTTAAAGTCTTGCGAGGCTTGAACCGTTGACAATTTCAACTAATTGCATAATTTTGGAGGGTTGCATAAACTACCACCAGATTCTGGTGGTAACTACGAACAAGATATTGGTGGAAACTGACGGCATTTGTGGACTGGGGCACAGGCTACCTAGAACAGGAACCCAGGGAAAATCCAAAAAGTTTTATAAGTGTTCAATTTAAAAGAGCTCATATTCAATTTATCGCCTGTCTAAAGCGGCGGGTTATTTTTAAATCGCAGTATTTGCTAAATAAAAACGATACAACAAGTTTAGGTATCAGGCTCTTATTTGCCAATCAATGATTTATGTGACTTGCTTTTCGCATTCTATTCCAATGATGTAAAATAGTCTCTGAATGTTATCATTTTTTAAAACGTTTCAAAGAGTGGAGAGGGCAGTTAATGCAGCTGCCAATGTAGCACAGGTTGGGTTCTTGAGTTGATTTTGTTACTTACAATTACAAACTCGCCTGTAAATATGTATTCTATTCGCAAATTGTAAATTTTATCAGAAAACTTAATAACAGTGATGATGGTCAGCTTAATCTCGGAAAACTTTGAAACAATAGGGCCAGATTTGAAGGAAAATCAGTTTCCAGATAATGTTTTGTTTTCTGACAAAGAATTACGATGTGAAAGTTTAACAGAAGAAGAAGGAAAATTGTAACTGCAGCAATACGTAATATTTGCTTGTCTTTCTGTTATCCAAAAATCTTGTTTAAAATGAATTACCCAGAAATTAAATTTCAGTATAAAACAAAAAGGAGCAGAAATTTGCAATTGAAAAATATTCGATCACACGCAATCAGATCATTTGCAAACTAGCCCTACATGCCAAAAATATCTACTAATAAAATAGAACATAAATGAGCTGTGTACCATTCGTGCTTACATCTACCAATATATACAATAAATTTAAACGAATTCGTAGACAATAAGGCAGGTGAAATGGAATATCATATAATTAAAAAACTTCAGTAAGATACCTAAAAATATGGTTTCTAATAGACCCAACATTTATTTTCATATCTAGAATATCGAAATTGTCTAAATTAAGGTTTTAGAATACACAATGCCAGAGACTACAATCTAGAATCCAGAATCTACAATCCAGAATCTACAATCCAGAATCTACAATCCAGAATCTAGAACACCTGCAAGATCTTCTTTGATTGCTTCCAGTTTAACTTTTGTTTACATCATGCAACATAAACTTTGTGAAAATCATTCGTCACTGATAGAAAACCTATCCCCTTTTTTCTAGTACCTAACGTAATTTTCAAAATGTTGGCAAGTTGAACCAAAAACGGTTCTTACAAAAAAGTAAAACTGTTTCTGTCATTGTTACAACATGAGTGTTAAAATTTTAATGGGCCAGCCCATGAAATCTCTCTGGACCAGCCCATGAAATCTCTCTGGACCAGCCCATGAAATCTCTCTGGACCAGCCCATGAAATCTCTCTGGACCAGCCCATGAAATCTCTCTGGACCAGCCCATGAAATCTCTCTGGACCAGCCCATGAAATCTCTCTGGACCAGCCCATGAAATCTCTCTGGACCAGCCCATGAAATCTCTCTGGACCAGCCCATGAAATCTCTCTGGACCAGCCCATGAAAGCTACTGTATAGTGCTTTAAAGTATAACATTTACGTTTTCTGCACGGGACTAGGAGGAGGAGCTTTTCTGAGCTCGTCGAAGAAGCCAATTTCAGTAAAAAATAGTTTTACACTCCGAGCATACACCATCCCCCTGCAAATTCTCACCCGTCCTAATAGCAAATTCTCACCCGTCCTAATAGCAAATTCTCACCCGTCCTAATAGCAAATTCTCACCCGTCCTAATAGCAAATTCTCACCCGTCCTCCGATTTTCTCTAGCTACCCTCAAATGTAAAAGGTGTTTAGATTTTTCAATGGCGTTTAGACGGTGTCTACCTTAAAATGAAAAAGGTTTTTAGACGTTGGAGGCTTTTTAATGCTATTAGTTTTAAATAGAATGTGTCCAGAAGAAGATGAAGGGCAAAACAAATTAAGCTTGCTAGTCCCAGGACGACTCGAAGGGCATAATGATTACGTCATTCCATTCTATTTTTAGAATTTTGATTGCATAATCAGAACGAGGACAGTGAAATACCTCTAAATGTGCATTATCTGTAACAGATTCACTGAGAAAGGGTCAGTTAATGACATGATAATTATTAATGGATTTCAGTTATTTTGACAAGGTGCATGAGTTTTAGAACCAAGGCTAAATTACATTGGTCTGTTAGAAATAGTTCCCGCGATCATATGACAGTGCCTCAGACAGTCTGTAGCATATCACGCCAAATTCAAAGGTAAATTACTATACTACTAAACTACCTCATGATGTTTTGTGCTTAAGCGGTGAAATTCTAAAAATTTGTTTGACGACGTCATCACTTTTGCATTTGTATGTATCCGTTATCAATGAACGAGATACACTTCGACATATTATTTGTCCATTTTTTCTGAGTTGTCAATTATTGGCAAGTATCTGCTACTGAGGAATTTGTTAATGCAGGTTTCACCCTCACACTTAAAGATCTATCTTGACAATCAAACTGATAAGAAATTTTCATGCCTTTTGGCCGAGGAAATCTCTGATAAAGAGATATTATATGCATTGCGCCAAACACAAGACCTCTGTGGAGATTTTGTGTTTGCATGCAAAGTTCATTTGCGCCAACCAGTGTGACCAGATCTCAATTTCGCAATTATGCTGAAATTGTCATAAAACTATGCCAGATTTACAAAATTCTCTCTCTCGAGGCTCTCTCGTTTGAAAGAGAGGCCAGCGCATGTGCAGAATAGCAAAAAACCCAGAATAACGTTCAACAAATAGAGGATTTAAGTTGAACAGTTTACAAACCAGCACAATCAATTCAAATTAACAAAAACATGATTAGTTCATACTATGTCAATTGCTAAAAATTCTTAGCATTCATCTTCGCTATTTGAATTAAGATCGTCTTTAGGAAAATTAACTAAGATATCCTGCACTCTGGTGTAAATGTTCTGGTTCATTTTATTTTTCATGGACTTTGTTGGTTCAAAATTGGTGCACTCATGTTAATTGGGTGTTAAAAGTTTGCATGCAGATACTTGACATCTACCATTTTCCCAGTTGGCCCAAAACTTATTAACAGAATTATAACATTATTTTAATAATGTAAAAATTATGCCAGAATTGTGCTAGATTTCCGATTATGCCAGATTTTATGCTAAATGACGATTTTTGGTCAAAAATATGCTAAAAGCATAATATAATGCTAGATCTGGTCACACTGGCACCAACTGCAATTTAGAACGTAAATAAGACATAAGCTGGAACCATATGGTTTTTCAGCTTCTACATAATAACTACTTTGCTGTTGGCAACATCAGTATTCGTGTACACGACGCTTAGGTCTGATACGTCCACTGATGACGTCACTACGACGACTGATGGTGATACTGGTTTCTCTTGCATTCTGCCAGGGCACAATACGTCTTTGAACTTCTCGTACACCTGCATGTACTCCATCTTAAAAGCTCTGTTGCGGAACCCAAGCACTATTGGGTTGCAGCAAGAATTTGCGAATCCTAACAGGAAGGCGAGATTTGCCAAAATAGGATTTGATAATGCGGGGACAAATGCTCCAAGAAGTGACATCACCAGAAACGGGCTCCAACACAGTAGAAAAAGAATCAGGACGATGATCATTGTGATGACGACTTGTTTCTGCATCGCCTTCCTGTCAATCGAAGCGCTGTTGGACATACGGCTCACTCTTCTCGCATGGATTGAAACAATCTTCATTATTCGGTAGTATGAAAAAGACATAATAACCAGGGGAATGAAAAACCCGGTTACAATGTATCCCATTGCTGTCAGCTTTTCTCCAGCCGTTTCCGGAATCTTCACTGCACATTGACCGCGACCATTTTTGAGATCGTACTTCGTTATACCGCTTAGTGGTAGTATCGATAGAATCGTCGAATGTAGCCAGATGTATACTAGCATGATAACTGCCGCGCGTCGCAAGCGTGGTTGCGGCCACTTGGAGACAACGGTGAAATACTGATGCAAGCTTATCATTGTGAGGGTGAGGATTGAGGCTAACATCAATTGCGAATTCAAGAATCCATTGAACTGGCATGCCGCGGAGCTGAAATCCCAGTAACCTAAAAGAAAAAGTATTGTAACGTTAGTAATTTGATAAGGCAGCTTCCATAGAAGGCTTCTTTTGGGCCATAGAGAGATAAGGCAATTTCATCTTTCGGCCAACCCGGCCGGTTCTCTTTCAACTAACCATGCTGCGATTGGCCCAAATGCCTTTCTCCTATTGAGCTCTGGGTATCTCTATTTTATAAAAGTTTTTGAAACAAAAGGACGAAGTAAGATCTCTTGGCAATGCATTTTGTCTCGACAGTTGATAAAGTTTACCAGAATTTAGGAGAACGTTCCTTTTAAAGAAGAGGGTAAGGCTGTGGTAGAGGGCTACTCTCAAAAAGTTTAGTAAGTATCGAAAGCTCGCATCGCAGCGTTTTCTAAAGTTTACAAATATATGACTATAATGCACTGATGGCCTAGATTATCACGAAACGTGTAGATGATTATTTTAGTTTTGCTTCTTTTGTTTCAAATGTTATCTTTTTTGGCAAAAATGATCAAAGTTCAGGCTTCGCTCAAGAGAAAGTTCAGTCTGGCAAATAAGCGTACGAGATTTTAACCAACCCAAAAACAATCTTGATGCATTTTTGGTGAAAGTGTACAAAAGTTTCAAATAAAAACGTATAAAAATGGAAAAATTATCAAAACTATGGGCAAAAAGTTAGTTAAACGGTCGACAGTAAAATCATCTCTACGCCATCAATATCATTAAGAATTATAAAGTCCTCGGAGCCGGCTCTCAATACAACTCGGTACTTATCGTGATCCTAGAACTAGTTTCTTATAGGCAAATTTCTTATAATAAAAACGTGTAGCATGGGGATGCGTTGATAATAATTTACCAGGTAACAGGTTATTTAGTGAAACGGTTGAACAGCAGTGGGATAGAATTTTATGAGATCATGTCATATCAAAGTTTGCATGGTCAACCCTGGTCAAGCGTATTAAAAAAAAACATATTAAAATTTCTTAAATTTTTCAAAAGCTATCGATAAGTATTTTGTTATGGCAGGTATTGTTTCTAAGTATTATGCACCAATAAGTAGATCTAAATTAATTGCATTTCAAAACAATTCTTCTGCTGGAATGGAAAAAAGTAAATATATGGATAGCAGTCTTCATAGTGACAACCAATCAACATTGTCGCACTGTTTTATGTTATGAGGTACTGTTTTGACGCTGTGAGACACTGTTTTAGGCCCACTACTCATTTTGTGGTTGATATAAGTGTGATGGGTGACATCCAATAAAACACATCGAAGGAAAGAATCTCTTAAAGCCTGGTTTCCACTGGGCGATTGTCGCGATAAAGGCGACAACTTCAACAGAATTTTCGCTTTTATCGTGACAATCGTCTAGTGGAAACATAATTTAATCGTGATTATCGCGCCACGATTAACGCGATTGGGGCGACAAACGCGAATATCGCGATTAAATTCATTTTTGTGATGGCAGTTTCTACTGCACAATCAACATGGCGCCCTTTACAAGAAAGCAGCTCATTGCAGTGATCGGCGCTGTTTACGTTTTAAGAGCAAAAAGAAAGAGGCACGAGAGGAACCAAAAGAGAAAGCACAAGTTTTGGATCAGAAAGATTTTCAAAGCTAAAGAATCAAGCGAGTATTATAGCTTATACCAAGAACTTCGCATGGCCGACAGAGAATATCACTTCAGGTATAAGTAGTCTATTTATACGTAAAGCTTGACTTTCCACTTAATGAAAGGTTTCCGAACTTGTAACAACATAATTATGTGTTAATTCATGGTAGTGTGTAATAAATCTTAATATGCTTTTTTTAGATACTTGCGGATTTCATTGGAAAGGTTCGATCACTTGCATAGTCTGCTTGAAAAGGAAATAAAGAAGAAAGATACACATTTTCGAAAGGCTATCAGCACACGGGAAAAATTGGTTTTAACCTTACGATATCTAGCCACTGGCTGTCCGCAGCAAAATCTCAGCTATTCATTTAGAGTTGGTCGTGCAACAGTTAGCAATATTGTACGAGAAACAGCTGATGCCATTTATAAAGTCTTGTCCCCAATTTATTTGAGGCCACCCCAAAAAACAGAAGACTGGGAACACATTAGTCAAGACTTTGAAAAACTATGGAACATGCCGCATGTCATTGGTGCTATTGACGGCAAGCATATTGCAATAGATTGTCCAAAAAATTCAGGAAGTCAAGACCACAACTACAAGGGGTTTTTTAGTATTTCTCTCTTAGCCATATGCGACGCAAGATACAATTTTACCATATTTGACGTTGGACAACATGGTAGTAACAATGATAGTGGTGTGTTGCTGAATTCTGAAATGGGGCAAAGATTTGAAGAGGGCTCTTTAGGTATTCCTCAAGCAACCGGAGTCAATGGATACACTTTAGGTCCCATGCCATATTATCTTGTTGGTGACGAAATTTTTCCTTTGAAAGATTGGTTGATGCGTCCTTACCCTGGCTCCTTAAATGAAGATCAAAGAATTTTCAATTATAGGCTTTCGAGAGCTCGACGTGTTATAGAGAATACTTTTGGTATTATGGTCGCAAGATGGAGACTATTCAGAGGGCCAATTAGAGCTTCTCGTGAAAATGTTGTCCGCTATGTTTTGGCTGCTGTTTGTCTGCATAATTATTTGCGCCAAACAGAAAATGCTGTCTATTGTCCGAATGGTTTTGTCGACTCCGAAGATAGCAGTGGCCAAATTCTACCGGGAGAATGGCGAAGATTGGCATCTGATGGAATGGGATTGCAAAACATTCAAAGAGTTAGAGGCTCCCGCCATACTGCAAATGCAACAGCCATAAGGAATGCTTTGAAGCAATATTTGTGCAGCGAAGCTGGCTCTGTACCATGGCAATTAGCTTACATTCAAAGAACTGGTGACAAATAAACTCGCATAACATGTTCTTATAATTGATTTTTTGACATTTTATTAATGAGCAAAATTTTATAACTGAGCAAATAATTTTTTTTAAAAGTAATTCCTATTGAGTAAAAAACATGTTCTGATTTGGCTCTATAGCAACGTTCCGATTTCTCTCACTTGTATTTCCAAGTGCTGATACAACAGGCTGATCGGGTGGAGGTGCATTCCATGCTGGTTGGAGCATGAACGATTTCTGTTGCTGCTCTTGCATTTGTATATCAAATATAATATTTTGTATTTGATGTCGAGCAATATACTGATTTCGGGGGGTGAATTTATTAATTTCTGAGTACACCATCATTGCAAAATGGTAGTTTGAGTCATTGACTGTACTTTGGGCTTCTGTCCTAGGCTCTTCAACTGCTTTTCGGACGGTCTCAAGGAACTGCAGCTCCATGTTCTCAATGTCCATCCCTTTTTTCTGCCATTTTGTTTTGCCTGTTACAGCAGATATCTCACACTTCCTGGATTTGAATTTTTTAGCTGGAGTTCTGGCAGGAAAGTCGTTGTTTACTTCTTCACCAAGCGGTTCAGAAACGGACGTCTCATCAATGTTTTGCCCTTCCTCTGAAATTTCATTACCATTATCATCATCATAATCGTCGTTGTCATCGTCGTCACCGCCGAACGTTTCAGCAGTCCCTTCCTCAAAAATTTCACTGGCTTCACTCGGAGTGGCTGGAGATTTCGGAAATGAAGCCACATTTCTAGGGGGCAAGTTTGTTTTTGAACTTCTGGCCTGTATAAAAGGTTGAAGCCATACCAAAAATTTATATTGGTCCAGCTTCTCCTTCGCTACAGCAACTGCACTGGTCGATGTGCCAGACCTCTCAACCTTCCTCATTTCGTTCCTTTTCTTGCTGTACCTCTTCTTTAAATTATCGAAAAGCTTCTTTGCTTCCTCTCCTAAAATATTTTTTACGACAATCAAAGTATGTATGGAAATGTGGAATAAGACTAAACGATTTTCAAATTACCAGCGTTGAAAATGGTTAAGTGTTCAGATCTACAAAACAAGAACAAATTTCTAATAGACTTGTACTGCAAGCATCCACCCCCTTTAACACCCTTTGGAAATAAGCCCAGACCCTAGCTTATTCTGGTAAGTCTGCAACACAAGACATCAGTAAATAACAATGGTTGTGAAAAAAATTATTTTATATTAAAATGAAATTTTCAAGCATTTCAGTGTGAGTTTCAGTATCGTATCGTGTTCTGACGAAAAGATGTTAATCCTTTAAGTAAAAAAACTTTCTTAAATATGGGAAGGATAAAAATATGATATTAGTATTTACCGCTCTCCATCCCTGTTGCTTCTGCAACTTTTCTCCATGCGTTAGCAACGACATTTTTATCTTTGTAATCCTTCTTTCTTTTGTCGTAAAGACATGGGTACTGTCTAACTGCCTCTGCTAGCTGTTCGTCTCGTTGAATACCGTCGAAATCCATTTTGGCAAGCTACGTTACTTGGTTTTTTAGTTTTGGCAAGAAGAGTTTTTCAAATAATTTATTGCAAAAAACGATTCGCCCCTTGAAACTTCCCAGTCATGCCAAGACTCTTTCCTTGACGTGAACGTTGTCATGGTGATCGAGGTATGCCTTTCGAAATTGATTCCAATGACGTCAATTTTGGCGATAAGGGCGATTAACGCGACAGAATATCAAAAAATTTTGATATTCTGTCGCGTTAATCGCGGCGCGATAAGCACGATTGTTTTACAAGATTTCATGTTTCCACTGGCCGATTATCACGATTATCGCGATAAAGGCGACAACTTCAACAGAATTTTCGCTTTTATCGCGACAATCGCCCAGTGGAAACCAGGCTTTAGCATTTGAGATACGCAACGAATAGGGATAGACGCTGAAATAGATTTACGCTTTTCTTATGAAGTATTATTTTTATGTAAGTTTTGCTACAATGATCATTCGCAATCCATGCATATAAACGGAATAATCCTTTAATCTTTTAATCTATTTCCTTAACAAGAAAAAACCTGTACTTCAATCAACCTAGTAGTTAGGCAACGAGCTTTTCTGTTCATGTACGAGGATTTATATAATGATACGGGAGAGTTGTCCCAAAACTAAACTTTGATAAAACTTAAATAAACAATCGGTTTTAGGAATGAATCGTGAAAACAATGCTCCTAGTTACTTAATATTACAAAATCGAATGATGCGGAAACGTAAATAAAACGAGGAAATGAGATCTGGCTGTTTGAATGCTAGCTTGCTAATGACAAATACGGGTGTGTGCTTACCGTTTATGTAGGTACGCAATGGAAAGTAAACAGCAAATATCACAACACCGATATCAGCGAAAGCCATATTCAAAATAAACCAGTTGTTTAGCGTCTTTCTCAGCTCTTTATTCCGATACAGTGTCCAGCATATAAGGCTATTGCCAAGCAAGCCAACAACTATGATCAGGATTAAAAAAATAGCCATTAGTACTCGCAATTCCATTGGGTATTCTTCTTCTGACATATCGGCTATGTAGGATCAAACTGATAAAGCTCTTTCTAGTATGTTGTATAAATAGCGCAGCTGGTACTTTCTCAATACTTCGTGCTTTTGCATTCACTCGTTCTCAGGCCTTACGATCTGCAACGTTGCTTCAGAAAATGACAAGTTCATTCGAATTCCCTTCGAGTGAGACAATTGCCAGAGAACTTCGTCAAGTCGTTTTGTGACCTCCAAGAAATCGGCACCTAGAGCAAATGCCTCCTCTGATATTCTAAATGATTAATTTCCATTGTTAATCGTTTTTTGCTGGTTGTCAGCTGAGTTATTTCTGCAAATCTTTTAAGTCTGCCAAGCGGCACATGGTAAATGTCCATGTCACAATGAAACGAAATGACCGACACGCTTTGCCAAGCGAAAATGTGGAACTCGGAATCATAATAAAATAAGGTTGCATTCGGCCAGACCGTAGACTTGCTCCAAGTCTATTTCGTGCTTGAGAGAGAATTATTTGTTTCTCTCTTGTGGACTTCTCGTGGGTCTGAATCTTTTCCTTAGTCGAATTTGCTGAACGTGCTTGGGGTAAATGTGTGTGTTATGTGTGTGTTTATGATATGAACAGTAATTACTCGTCAAATTTGTTTTTTATGTAGGTAGCCCAGTGGCGGAAATCAGACTTTCATTGGGGGGACGGGGGGGCGGGCCTACGATTTTCCGACAAGATATCATCTTGTATTATTTCTCATTTTAAGGAAACTGCACATTTTGATTAAGATAGGTGATTTTTTGGCGGGACCCTTTAGAAATCTTTCTTGATCACGCCATAATTAAGTAGCAAGAAGAACAATCCATTTATGATTTTTGATATCAAGATCGATATCTCATCTAAGACAATCAGAGACGGATCCAGAGCAAACTTGAAGGTGGGGCAGTCAGTAGTGAAGGCGCCGAAAAATTTTAAGAAATTGGTGACGAGTATACGCTGTTTACAATAATTTCAGACCCTAACTACTGATACAAGGCCCACTATTTACTTTCTAAGCGAATTTTAAAAATAATTGTACCCCAAAACAATGATATATAGTCTGCGCATGACTGAAGGTCTCTCATTAAACTTTTTCTCTTAAAAGACTTGAATGGTTATCCTTACCGGGAAATCGAAATTTGGGGGACTTATAGAATTTGCCGCTTTTGGTTTAATTTTCAATTGAAGTTTGGCTGTTTAGTTAGACAGTACTTTAACGGACGCGCCTAAAATTCAGTAATACGTCATTATTGCAAAATGTAAGATTAACTGTTCATGGTTTTATGAAGACGACCAGCTTTCTATTACAATTGTCTATTACATAGTTCTATTTGGTTTGATTGTGACATGAAGATTTGAAAGAAGGCAGGAATTAACGAACACAACTTTATGGGTAGCCTCTGTTGTCTTCCAAAGCATGAATTTTGAGGTAATCCTTGAAGAGAAATAACCTATAGGATTCAGAAACTTTTTCATCTGATTCTCATTCTTCAAAGGTGTGCACAATTTTCAAAAAAATGGGCGCCAGACTTGCTTCAACTCGCCGAGGAAGGGGCAACTGTCCCTAGTTGCCCTCCCCCCTCCTAAATCCGCCACTGAAGACAATTGATTATACAAGAGGTCGACCGATTACCCTTTTGACAAGTCGTTCATGATAACAACATGATTGTAAATGTAATGTTAATTTTCTGCATTTTATCTTGTTTTCTTCAGTGGGAAATGCGTTTGAAAATAACTTTTATTTGGAAGGAGTCGATGGAAATTTCTGCTAATGTTTACCGAATCGATATTAAATATACAACTCATAAGCAGTTTTGATTTTTGTCATATATTGTTTGTTTGATCATTTAGTGTTGGCTAAAATCTTATCAGCTATGCTATGTTCAAATTTTACAAAAGGGCACAGAGAGAATACAGGATCCTGGGGTAAAAAGGGAAAGTGCGGATCACCTGCGAGCGAAGCAAGCAGAAAGTTTGGCAATGACGCCCCTTAGATTAGCTGAAAATAGATTTCAGAACGATTTTTTGAACCTTTCAGAACGGTCGTGTACATATCCGACGAAGGCCCAAATTTTTCGACGAGATTGTTGATTGGGGGGACCCCCCTCACACCCCCATGATTTCCGCCACTGTAGTAGCCCATCAGCTACCTCCAGATACAGGCGTAAAAACTGAGCCTTGCAATGATATGTTATGAAAAGATGGCGTCACAATTTACTCAAAATAATACGCAACACTTGTTGAGCGATTGCATGCAGTTACGAATGTGATAAATGACTTTTTTTAACAAAATGTTCAAGTTGTGCCAGAATTATGCTAGATTTCAAATTATGCCAGATTTTTTGCTGAATGACGATTTTGCATTAATAAGGTGGTCAAACAAAGAGTGGCAAAATGATGACGTCACCAAAATCTGCCGCTGTAAGGAAGTTCACTCGATTTACGCGTTGGTATGTAGAAGGGACGTTTTCGATCTGCTCGTGTTGGTTTTGCCAGGTTTTCATACGACCGGGTTGTTTTTATTCGCAATCAAGCTGCAAGTTTAAGCTATCATAGAAATGTCAATAAATCTTTATATCAAGCATACTTTTTATAGAACGGCGAACTTTGTTCCGTATTTTACACTGTCGGACGAGACAAGATTCAACAAAGGCATTTGAGATTTCCGTGTACGCAAGGATATGAAATGTAAACTTTGCAAATGCAGATACACAAATTAAAATGCGGATGCGAATGTTTTACAGATTTAAACAGGCTTTCGATGTTGAGATACTTCTAGCTAACAGTTACCATTTTCGCTTAAAAACAGATTTGCGTAGATGTTTAATGTTTGCGTCATGGCGTCATCTTCCACAAGGATTAAAATTACACCTGGATCAGACCCACGGCACTGATCCTTGAGCTTGAGGGGCAATCAATGTAAAGAAAGTTTCTTCTTACGTTCTCTGGCCCAAACTGTGGCAAACATTTTGCTGAAACTGATTTACTAGTGGACTTTGGTTCAATGTATCTGTTGTCAGTGGCGTAGCTAGCGGTCATGCTTGTCATGCCGGGCATGACCATCTATTTCCAGAGATAACGTTTTTCAAAAAATTATATTTTCATAAGAATAAAGTCCTATTCTCATGATGAAATAGCTCAGGCCATTCGCCTTTGGAGCCCTATGGTTCCGCGCAAGAATATGGAGCCCTCCGAAGGCGCCCTTCCATTGTCGGGCATGACTAAAACAGAGGGTTTCCAATTTAGTCATGCCCATAACTATGAGCATGACCAAACCCTGTGTTTTAGTCATGCCCATAACGCTGGTTCCCTATGTTTGGTCATGCCTAACAATAGGAGTGACGCAGGAGAGAACAAAGGCTAGTCATGCCATCTCGAGAGGGCATGACCATCATTATAATCATCAGAACCGTCCTGTGTTATTTCGTGAACGCGAATGCGAGGCATCGATGGCGGCGCTGCTATGCCTAGATCCACGAGCTGGGAGGTAATTCTCTGTAAGTAAAATGCAAGGAATAGCTTATTGCCAAGCAGCCACAACTCGTGTTAATCTCCTAAACATTTTATGGCAATGACAGGGTTTTTCAGCCTTAATGGTGTTGCACTATGTGGAGAAGTGACAGGCACGAAAGGCCACTTTTGGACATAAAATCAGCGAGCAGGATCATTTTATGCAACCAAACCAAACTCTCAGGCTTTTCAGTAATCAATTGTTACTAGTTGAACATTTGCAGAGAATCTTCTTGATGTAATGAATGCCAAATTTTGGTGCTGTTCACTGGAGATGGATGGAGGAGAAAGCAGTGTTATTTTCCAAACCAACAGATTTGAGAGCTTAAACTTTCCAGACATTTAGCAGCATATTCAGAAACTGTTAAGCCCTTTAAAAGCATCGTTACCATATTATGATTAGGCCAATAAGATTGTAGTTAATGGATAGGGAATGCCAAAACTTGCTTAAAGTTATTCTTCAATTTTTTGTTTATTATCATATGCAATAACACTGTTTTTACACACAATTAAAGTCAAACTCAAAGCTCTACTGACTTCACTTGTAGTTGAAAGTACCTTTTTACTACTTATAGCTGTTGAAATAAATTGACCAGAGACAAGTCAAGCATGTTGATGATCTTGTTAGTTAAACAGTTTTATTTCTTTATTATAACTTTTCATGTATTTGATAATTTACAAGATCAAATTATTCCATTTGAAACTCTTGTTTGCTAGATTTGGTAAGGACAATCCAATCATGTGGATATTTACCACTATTATATGTGGAAACATCAATGTTTTTGTTAAGCTAAACTTATTTTGCAAGGTATTTTTCTATTAAGTCTAACTTTGCAGAAAACATTTTGCAACTAGGCCTATCCATTATTTTAGCTTCCTATATTTCATATCAATATTTACATTGCATATTAATTTGCCAATTTGTTTTATTCATCTATCAGTTCTATTGGAGTAGTTAGTTAATCGTGATGGCTTTAAAATACCTTCAATAGATTGATAATAAGACTATTTGTGGAAAAGATGACCAAAAAGCTCCCATTCAGTTTCATGTGATTTATTGTTTCATTTACAAATATTAGCTTATCTCTAAAATTTACAAATGTATTTCAGCCTGCAAATTGAAAGAAAATTAGAAGAACAACACAATTTTTTATTTAAACTAAGTTTATCTACTATACTAAACTAACGTTTTTAATGTCTTTTGTACAGTTCTGTTTTGAAATTGTCAGAACATTGTCTGTATAAATTACCAACAAACCAAAACAGTGTCACAGCTATAAGATAAAGGTCATTTCATGGTGTAACAAGATGATTGCCATGAAATAAGAAAAGCTAATTCCAAAAGTTAATCAAATTTTTTTTTTAAGTCACAAGCCTTAAAATTAAAATTTTCAAAAGGAAATCATCAACTAAAAAATTGGGCGTGGTAAAATTTGGCCACACCCATATTTTTTCAAATTTGAGGGGAGGGCATGACCACTGCTATTTGGCTAGCTACGCCACTGTCTGTTGTTATCCATAAAGGTTTATACATGACAATACTTTAAGCTTGTTTTAGTCTTTTATTTAGCTAAGAAAGTGGGGAGGCCATGACCTACCTTGTGACGCGGGCCCTTTTACATTATGACGACATTTTGATACAGACCACATTGATAGTCTGCATTAGTTAGGTCAGACAACAATTTGCCAATTATAATCAAGTACACGCTCTTTTTTATAAGAACAATTTTATAAGAACCCGAGCCTCAAAACTGGTCAAAAGTTAAGAACAAATTCAGAACAAGCTGAGGCTGAGCTTCTGCAAAATGCAATTTTGAACAACGTTTTTTCTCAAAATCGAGGATTTTTAGCGATGTGTGGGTGCTTTTTCGGTGAATTAAAATTTGTCAACAAACTGTCTCACTCACTTTGTTGGCAAATGAGGCCTGAACACCTCCTTAGAGCGAAAAAGCTAGCAATAGCACTGCTTATACCCTCTTAATTTAAGAACAAATTAAGAACAATCCAGCCTCAGATTTTCGAAAAAATTAAGAACAGTCAGTCTGAACTTAAATTTACTGGTTCTTATAAAAAAAGAGTGTAGACGTTTAGAAAAATAAGAATAAATGAAAATCTACCATAATAATAAGAAAGAATTTTTGGAGTTTTTGTGGAGTACATTGCCCTTCCGGGCAAGGGACAGGGCCATCGCTAACTATTGTGCTCAAAGGGGATTTTCATAGTCCCATTTGATGACAACGTGGATGGGCCAACCCTGCCATCGCTATTGTTCTGTAGTTAAAACTGTTGCATCGCAAGCCTCCTCAAAATTAAAACGTAGGATGCCTGCTAAAGTATTTGGAATACCCACCAGCTTATGTCGTGTTTTCGTATATCATTTCTTTTCCCAAATACTAATACTTTCGCTCCCCTTCTTGCAAAACTATTCTATAGCTTAGGCAAATGCCATAATGTAAAAAATGTACTGCTTAAGTTACTACGTAAATTTGGAGTAAACCTTTTGAAGCAATCGTTTGAGCCTTTCTGTCAATCAACAAAAGACCAATAAATAAGCAGGAAACAACTTAAACGCATTCTGATTGGCCAATAGTTGATGCAAAAGCAGCGGGTCGCTGAAATTGGCCTTGAAAGCTTACGTTAGTATTTCAACTCGTTTGGCAATGATTGTAGCAAAATTTCTATTTCTGACTACTGTTTCTCTTATCTTTGCTGAGCTTCACAATATCTCAAGTTTTGACTTGATATCATTGTTGTTTATTTATTTTGATTCAATATTGACATAGCTAAGAACATATACAAAGTTAGCTAGAATAAATCGAATGAATTCAAATGTAAACGAAAAATATCAATGAATAAAATTAAAACAACTGCAGGTGTTGCATTTACATTTTGGGCCTTCATCAAACCTTCATCAAAAGTTTGAAGTTTGTCAAGTTTTCAGATGGGTTTTATTTTGTTTGTTAAGCTATTTCATGACATATGCTTGAACACGCTGTTTCATGATGCAGCAATGCATATACGTTATCAGCCGATCAGAGTTGTAGAGTTTCTCTGATATCATCTAGACAACTGTAGTGTGTGTGTTGTACACGCTGTAGTGTGTGTGTTGTACACGCTGTAGTGTGTAGAAATGACTGTTTTAAGCTGTCACTGGTCAAACACGTCAACCACCAGGCAACTGTTGATCAATTGATTTACTCTAACGCAATGGGTATCATACCTTGTTATTCTCTTTATAGTCTGGCTTCATAAAACACAGTGGCCTAAGAGTTGATATGTATTCATTTAAATGGATAAAGATAAACAACAGTTAAAGGTAGGTAGTCATAATTCTTTCTCTGTCAATTGATTGCATAATTCATTTGCTAAACATTTTAATTAGGCAAATTATTCACAGCCTCTTTCGCAAGTATATGGATGCTGTAAGCTGCCATTGTTAATCTTACTTTCTAAACTATAAATTTGTTCTCACTAATCATTCTCATTGTACCCCTGCCCTGCTCGTGATTTACTAAAAAGTCCCTTACTTATTATTTACAGGGTGTGTTGCATACCCACACCCACTCTTCCAATATTAAGTGTAATGTTCATTCCATATAAACGGTCTACTCGATTGTCAATATATGAACAAAATACCATGTCTGTTGTTCTGTACGTTAAAATTGCCTACCACGCAATTGAATTTTGAAAAAGTATTTAAAGTGGTGAAATCATGAAATGATAAATAGAAGAAATCCGGATTCGAAAAAACTGAAGAAGTTAAGGCGCTACACATTCCCTGCAACTGCTTTATGTGTCCAGAAGCAGAACCAGTTTAATTCGTTACGACATCTTGGAAGATAACAGATTTGACTGTTATAGGTAAAAACTGACAAGACTGTTATAGGTCGATTTTGTCAAGAATTCCATTGAGTAACTGCTATGAGATGAGAACAATCGTAAAATGTTAATTAAAACGATGATTCAAAATGTTCATTACTTCATTTGGTCTTCAAACTTCAATTCAACAGAAGACATAACTTCGAATTTACGTTGAGCACGCAATGTCTGGCCAATTGCGAACATCTACTCTACAAACGAATTATTGGACCGTTAAATTTCGCGTGTTATACTTCGTTGAATAAGGCCTTAAAGTAAACAGAACGTACGAGCAGATAACTGCGTGCAAAGGACTAAGCCAGGAATAAATATCACAATGTTGCATAGTGGCGGAAAGTGCGGGGCAAGAACCCCCAACTTTTGGTAAATCAGCAAATCAGCGCTTTTGTCGGTAAATTTTTTCATTTGTCGGCAAATTGCTTGTTTTGATAGCACTACACCCCCTTCCAACCTGACAAATGAACTTCCGCCTCTGATGTTACAAATCGAGCTGCTTATCAGTCTACATTTCAATTGAATGCGAAGCAAACTCCAGTCATGAAATGATCATTTTTCAATATACGATTCTCCTTTAGTCAAGGGACCTGGTGGAGACCTGGTGAAAAGTGTCGTTTCCAGGGGCCAATTAAGCACCAATGACTCATTAATTTTGTCATTTGTCATCCAGACAGGTTTTGCAACAATTTTATTGCTGTTCCAAAGTAATACCAACTCGAAGGATAATATTGCAAAGTTCGAAAGCTGAAGCGATGCATTCTTTTCGCAGAAACAACGAGTCGACGATTTGGGGAAAACAGGTAGCAAGATGATCAGTCTTTACATCTTTCCCATGTTCGTTACCTGCGCTTGGAAACCTCCTGTCAAAATTCAAGCTTTCGAATTTCAGTTCTGAACAATAGTTGACAGAGCCACAACAACAGCAGTAATCCTCGTCAACTACAGAACTTGGTTCTGTACTTGCTGGAAAGCACCAAAGATGGCCGAAAATAGAATCGGTATAACAGTCTCCGTTTATTTTGTGAATGGAGTTGGCAACACGTTCAAAGGACTTTGCGATGCTATAAAGGGCTTGTTTCCAGTTTTCTAGAAAAAAATGTGGAAAATATTTTAAGCATGTCTCGAATCAGAGATACCTGCCTACAGCACAGGCCAAAAACTAAACAGTTGAATATACGTTATAGGACGCTACGCCAAGAAGGATCAAAGATTTAAGTCGAACCAGTAAATTTACCGAGCAGGAGAGACCCTTCAATTAGAGACCTTCATTCATTCCAGACTTTATATCATTCGGTCGACAAAGTTGTCTTGAAACCTTTGTTAGAGCGTTAATAGAGCACCTTCCGTCAGTAGTTAGGGTCAGAAATTGTTGCATACAGTGTACACTTTCTAATACTGTTACTAGTACTGCTCCATCAAATTTGCTCTGGACTCACCATGGCCTCCTTATGTTCATTATATAAGCATTTAACAAAGGAAAGTAATTATCATTAGAAAGAATCAACAAACAAGGCTGCAGAATCGGCTTGCCTAACAAATTCATTCAAATATTAAGGATCATACAGGATAAAAATGTAGATGCAAATACCTTGATCCAACTTCTCTAGAAGTTTGTACTTCATTTTCTCCTCACGTGTAAACCCCTTTCCAACCAAATCACATACAAAGGAAGCTACTTGCGCTTCAAAGCACCCTCCTCCACACAACACTCTTGGATCATCAATAAGGTGGAATAATGATTTTTCTACTGAATGAATCGTAGTCTTTAATTCTTCAAGACTGTTTTCATCTCTGCCACACAGCATCATGGTATGAACCACGTTTTCACCACCCGGGCGAACTATGATGTACCTGAAGGTGCAAAAAATGATGGATAAATCAGTATATTGACGGAGACATCACTTTAGGTACATAATGCTACTATTTTGATAAGCTGTTAAAATTTCAATAAATTTTAATAAGACTTCATGGCTTTATGACATCAAATGGCTTTATACACTGTTCTTTTAAGCTGTTACAGACAATCAGAGTGGAAAATTGGGGATACGTGCCATGTCTGTCTGTACCCAGTCAAAGCTAATGCTCACTTCCTCTACCAAAATTGTTGGCAGTAGTCAGTAAATAATAGATGCATGTGAACAAGGCACTTTATATTGACACTCCTCAGAACAAAAATTTATTTTAAACATACATAGTCATGTTACATAGGATTATATGGTCAGTGATTGTATTGTTAAGATGTCATCTTTTAATAAAAACTTTGCTTCATAGCAGAATTGTTTCTCCAGCAACGAATACAATGGTAATTTTGATTCTTATAATTTGCTTTATGATAAGCTTTCTCCTTCCACGTAATGCTTCAAGTTGATCACAGTAAACCATGATATATATGTAAATAATGAAAAGTTCACGGTACCAATCTGTTCGACAGACTTCAGTGGAATACAGGTAAAATATCGATAAAATTTAGAAAATGAGAAACACTGCGGGGGGTGAGAAAAAAGGACAACAAATACAAATTAATCACAGGTAGCTAAACCTTTGCCCCGGCATACAGGACTTCATCAGGGTAACAGTGATAAGTATAGTTGATAGACGGATGCACCGAAATAGACCAGGCGAGGAAGGGGGGGTATCGTCACCCATCGAGGGAATTTGCAAGACCAACTCTATTTGGTCAATTTCGATACGCTGATTACGAAAATCGATGTTATACGGAGAAATTCGGTACCAGGAAGCCTCTATTTCACGTTCAAACCTCGTTTTCGTCCAAACTTGAACGTTGAACGAAAGTTTGTAAATGAATCGATTTTTATCAATTTTGATGTGCTGATTTCAAAAAATTATTTTATAAATGTAAATTCAGTACCAGGAAGCCTCTATTTCATGTCCAAACCTCGTTTTCATCAAAATTTGAATGTTGAAAAAAAGTTTGTAAATTTTTTATTCTCATCAATTTCGATATACTGATTTCGAAGGTTTATCTCATACGGCGGAATTCTTTATGCACCCTATGGTCCCTTTTTCATGCTGAAATCGTTTATTTATCGTTTCAATATTTCTAGAGCAAAATCTGCTGCACATATAGATTTGCTTTAAAAGCTTTAAAAAGATTATGTCAAAAGGCAATATAATACGGCTAATAAACATTTAAAGTTGTTTTGAATAAACATTCTAGTATGCGTTGTCATCAGAGTCATTGCTATACTCATCCTCAAAGCAATTGTCATTCATTGAGTCAGTATTGTCTTCTTCAGCATCTTGATTGATATTTAGAAGCAGCTCGGCATTATTATCTAGGTATATGTCTTTACTCCACGATGCGTTACCGGCTGCATCCCAACCATGATCAACAGGACTGCCAATGCTTAACTGCAACTGGTCTGCATTTCTGTAAATGTTTGCAACATAAGCCAATGTAGCTTTGTGCAAATGAGATTGGCAACACACGGTGGCATTAAACTAAGTTCAAAAACTTTCCCTTAAGTTTCAAAAATCTTCCAGAAACTCTTTGAGCGGGCGCCATTAGCCTTGGTGACAGTTGTTGAAAAAGCGTAAAGAAAGCATGTAAACTTCTCCAGGATCTCGATAGCATTTGGATGGGCTGGACATCTGTTCCAAGCCTTGCAAAAGTGCTCACGAATTCGTTGCGCTTTAACATTGCTTTTCAGAATGACTTTTTCCCTTTTTTGGAAATCATGGACACATAATCGATGTCGGAGAATGCGTGAAGACCAACTATTGCTCGCCTTTTAATTGAAGACAATGTTGATATGTTAGACAGCATGAAGCAAGACCACTGAATAAATTTTATGTATGACAATTTAAGTAGCGCAGTGAAAAAACTAACTAAGATCTTTCTGGAGAACGGCTATCCAGAGGATGTTATTTCAGTTTACATTAAGGAGAAAATTTCTCGGCTGACGTAAAATTTGGTCCTCAAAAGTGCCCGGTCTATCTAAAACTACCCTGGATCGGTGACAGTTCCCTACGTTTTGCAAGCCAAATAAAACAGCCCATTGCAAATTGTTTCTTTGCAGTCAACCCACGTGTTGTTTATAGTATGAAAAAGGCCCTTCCGTCCATTCAAAATGACTGCGTTCCTGCCACACAAAAAAGTTCCGTTGTATATGAATTTACGTGCCAGTGTGGTTCTGGCTACGTAGGACGCACTACCCAAAGATTGGAGGATAGAATAAAACAACATGTTCCGTCTAATATTAGAAACAAAACCCATCCCCAAAGAGAACAGCCACCTCGGTCTTGCAAATCTAAAATTACAACTAAAACCTGCGAATCTGCTATCGGTCAGCATTTACTGGAAACCCAGATTGTGCAAAAAACTATAATGGCGAAATTTGTCGGATTATTGGTAAAGCCCGATCGTCGTTCTACCTAGCAGTTTTGGAATCTATCTACATAAGCTCGAAAAAACCGCTTCTGTGTAGACAAAAGGAGTTCGTTTTCACCTAAGGCTCAATTGGTAACATTCTCAATAGGCAAGCGGCACTGATTGGTCAACCTATACAGTCATGTGCTCCTGTTTCTGATTGGCCTATTTCGATCCACAACTGGGTATATATGTATTTCCTAGCGTAGATTTTTTGACCTATGTTCTGACATTTTAAACTCTGAAGAGTGTCAGACGAAAAACTTTAGTTTACTAATTGTTTTCTTTTTTCAAAGCCATTTTCAAGTTTTGTACCACCAAAAGATTGTTTACAACTTTCAATGTTTATTAGCCCTATTATATTGCCTTTTGACATTGACATCTTTTTTAAGCTTTTAAAGCAAATCTATGTGCGCAGTAGATTTTACTCTAGAAATATTGAAAACGATAAATAAACGATTTCAGCATGAAAAAGGGACCAGTGCATACAGAATTCCGCTGTATGAGATCAACCTTCGGAATCAGTATATCGAAATTGATGAGAATAAAAAATTTACAAACTTTTTTTCAACGTTCAAATTTTGACGAAAATGAGGTTTGAACATGAAATAGAGGTTTCCTGGTACTGAATTTACATTTATAAAATAACTTTTTGAAATCAGCACATCAAAATTGATAAAAATCGATTCATTTACAAACTTTCGTTCAACGTTCAAATTTGGACGAAAACGAGGTTTGAACGTGAAAAAGAGGCTTCCTGGTACCGAATTTCTCCGTATAACATCGATTTTCGTAATCAGCGTATCGAAATTGACCAAATAGAGTTGGTCTTGCAAATTCCCTCGATGGGTGACGATACCCCCCCTTCCTCGCCTGGTCTAAAATGGTCGTCCACGCAATCAAAATACACGAAAACAACTAGCATGTAATAGGATGGCACGTGTTCATTTTCAAAGCATATTGCACTAAACTCTTTGTTCAAGATCGGTAAGAGTGTGAAGCAGATGATGACTAAACGAGGACAGCGTACATATTTACCATTCGTTTTCAGTCACATCGGGGAATATAGTCAGGCCAAACAAACCAAATCATATGTTTGTTGTTATACGGTAGCTGACCAAAGCAAAGCCAGCCAAAACATTGTAGATGTCAGTAGGAAAAGATTGGTCAAAAGAAGGTAAAGCAGATGTTTCTAGGAAGTGATTGGTCGAAACAAAACCAATCAAATGCTAGTTGAAAACCAGAACCAGTTAGAGCATCTGGTCAGAGACTGGCGGACAACGATTGGTCAGAAACACACCAATGAAAATTAAGTTGACGTTTATTGGTCAAATAAAGCAAAGCAAACTGGTCATTAATTGGTCAAAACAAAGCCAGTCAGTTATTAGAGGGCACTGATTGGTCAAAACTAAGCCAATCAGACAGGCTTCCTTTCCTTTCAGCTGGTTCTGATTCTTATCGACAAGTTTATCGATAACAGCTTTGGTAACAACTTATCATCAGCTTTAAAAAATCATTTTCATCATCACCCCTATGTGACCAACTTGTGATCATTTGAACTTTCAATAATTCGGATTGATTATGGTTTCCAATGAATATTTGAGGTATTGTGCGTTAACTGCATTTCAAATAAGAATACCTTTTACCGAAGTACTGTTTAACGTCGATTTCCTGCATGTTAACAATATTTGACTCTGATATTTGATCGAATTGGCCTTCCACAGGGTTCATCTGAGCAAAATTACAAAGGGTCTTAGTAGCTTGATAACCCAGTCTTTCAATGACTAAAACACCCTGAAACGATACATATTAAACAAATATTTTAGTCACAGCTTTAAAAGAGAAGTAAGGGAATTCTCGTGACTTAATTGGCAATGCCTTGTCTATTCACAGGTCCAAATAAAATACAAAACTAGATATTTCTACGATGAAGAATGAGCTTTGAAAATATGCGCAATATTAGTTTTGAGTAGTCTCAATAAAATACCAGTCAAATAGAACGCCAGAATTTGAATTTGTACATGAGGGTGTTATCATTAAACAAAGGTCGTTCAGTTTGAGCTGATAAAGGCACTAAAATCTTAATTTAATGTGGTTTTAATTTTGACACAGTAAAGATACATACGTCAGGATGTCGATCTAGCAAAATTGTTCTCTAAAAGAAATGGCACTAAGACACACAGAAAAAATAGTAAGAAAAACCCACCCTATTTTCGAGATATCTCCTCAAAGATGGGTGAACAACTTTCTGGCAAAAAAGAAGACGCACACCATTTGCTACAATCGAACCACCAAGACTAAGCAATTGATCATAGGTGACGTCATCAACGAAGGATTCATTTTCCTTTGTCATCAGAATCGTCTCGTCAATAACTAGAAAAAGCCATATTCGAATGACAGAAGCAACACTTTGAAATTATTGCTTTTTCCGGCCTCGAAGGCGAAAAATACATGGCACTTCTAAGTGCATTTTTGTCTAAAGGGTACACAAATTGATGAAAGGAAACTGTTAACAAGTCCATTGAAGGAAACAGAAAACCTTTCGAATCTCTGTCTTCACATAAAAATGCCTTTTCAGTTTCATCCTGGCCTCGATATTCGTTCGAAGGCCCTCCAAGGGGCAAGAGAATAGTTTATTTCCATTCAAACCGGACATTCTGGAATCACGCGAGACAGTGAAACAAACATTTTCAAGAAACGTGTCAAAAACACAACGTAAAAAGCTGTTCATTTAGCTTTAGAGATTAAACACGCCCACCTTTGTTGAAAACGGGGAAGATCATCTTTTTGTGTATCAATTGGACGATAACGTAAGTAAAGAAGAACCAGACCATGTAATTTGGCCAAGAATACCCCATTGCAAAGGTAACCAGCCAACAACCTAGAGCCCTTTCTTGAAAGGATTGATGAGAAACGCTAACACACCAGTCATTTTTCTTAACATATAACCTGGGTGATTGTGTGTCACAGAGCCTTCTATTAAATTTCATATCTCTAAATTATTAATTATCACAAATGAGGGTCTTTTCTTATTGGAGCAAAGAATCAATTAAAATATCGATCATTAAAATGTTTTATAACAATCTTTAATTAAAATATTTTAAAATAATCATTTATTAAAACATTGATTACTTGATTGATCTCCAGCCAATGATGTTCCAAAAACAACTGTCTTTACTAAGCCATCTAAGGATGAAAGCAATCTCTCACCAACTGCATCCATAGGTGGCAATCTAATAACTATACCAGGAATAACTACTGAATCCATTACTGAAGGTCCTTCATTCAGAATAAGACTTATCCCACCATCATTAAATTTTCTGCCATTTGCATTGGTGGACTTGAAAAAAGCCTACGAATTAAAATAAACATTCTCTAAACATTTCATTTGAATATGATAACATGACAGCATATATATGTTTAAAGACAAGGAGAAAAAATTAAATTGACAATTAAAAGAAGTATTACTTACGATAATAAACTCAATTATGCAAAATTCAATTTTCTGATAAATTCAATTGATTAACAATTGAAATTCATGAAAAATGTTGTTGAATTCCATGAGGCAGAGCGTTTAAGTATTATCACTTCAATTCAAAATCCCAGAGGAAAGACCTTATATTCAATCTTTTTACCTCTCATATGTCACAAACAAATTGTTTCAAAACAGTTCTTTTTAAGTTATCTGACTTCAGTTATTTGCTTATCCCATCCACTTACACTTTGCAAATAGACTTCACTTCTAATTTTTTATACAAAAACCTGCCTGTAGTCTTCTACTGTTAACAGATATGCACTTTTGATACTGTATAAAGGAAAACCTTATTCAATAAGAGAGTACTTAAATAATTGTTGATTTTTCATTCATTGTGTCTTGTTTAAATTGTTCTAATAAAAAATGTTTGCTTCTTCAATGCCAAATCTCTTAATTTAAGCTTCATCACTGTTTATCACTGCACAATAACAATTTATCACTGCACAAATTGGTTATTTCTGCATATTAAAATAAACCCTGTCTTAATCTCTCACCGTCAAAATATTTAAAGATATGTGATTAGCCTCCTTTTCTGATAGCTGACACACTGATTTTGACATCAGAATAGACCTAACAACCATCATCATATCATTCAGCTTCCCAAGATCCAACTTGTGAACAACTTCCTGTTTTACAATCCAATCTTTTATCTTATCCAATACAAAGTTGTTTGCCAAAACACACAAATTTTGAGGAAGCTGGCTTCCAAAATGTCCTAGAAAAAGACTTTAGAAGCAATAGATCTTAGTTTATTTTTTTTAAAATTTAAAATAGGGTTTACAAAAGGTTCTTTCTCGAATTTAGCAAATAATTTTTTATTCATTTTATAAGGAGGTTGCTTTTCTTACTAGCGCACATCCAAAAATAAAAATTGATTTCAGCAATAAAACAAAAAACTAGCAAAATTTGATAACATTTTGCTAACCTTTAAAGGAAGCCTTTGATAAATTTATATACACAAAGATATATTTTCTCAATATAGTCTTACATTAACTCTAACATTAACACTTATCCAAGTCATCTTGTCAATCCAGTAAAATAACACAGGTGAAGGCCAGTGAAGAACCACAAGCAAATTTTGTAGAAATGAAGATTGAATTGGTTCCATACATGCAGATCATAACAAATAACATATGCAAACAAAGACATAATTCCACAAAGCATTTTTAGTAAATAAACACTTACCTTGTACATAATGATGCTAAAAACAAACCACCATTTTGGAAGACATGCAAATGAGACTTAATACCAGATAAAAGAATCTGTGTGGCAGCATTTGAAGAGCTGTAGAAATCAAATAATTTTGAGGAAGTTGTTGTTGTCATTGCATATCCTCCAGCTTTTGTTTGTAGAACCTTAAACCTAGAGAATAAGACTGAATTTCACTCACAACATTCATAAGACTCTGTTTTCACAAAGGCTGACAAACAAGTCATACAAATTTTTGTATAATATAGCTCTTGTAGATCTCAAGATTTCAAGCCTTCCAGGACACCCAATAAAGTTTCCATTTTGAAACTTTTGGTAAGAAGATCAAAACAATGGTTGCACATAACTTTTAAACCTCAGAAAAACCTCTTTGATCTGAATGATACAGATAGCTTCAAATATTAGGGTTCAAGTATTTCAGCTTCACATAAGTTAAGTAGTATAGATTTCATTCACCAGGCTCACTAAACTATAAAATGTTTCTATTTTCACAATGATCTTGGGCATATGAAGAGTTTTCCCCATTTTTTTCAGCATGCATATATTGTTCTTGCTGAAATCTCACATTAAGAAAGTGCCAATAATAAAATACAACCACTAACATTTAGCCAGCAAACAAAGCAAAAGAATATCAACAACAAATAAAATTATCACAGAAATTCCACTTCCTGGGTAATTTTTGCCTTTTTCACAAGTACACTCTATTCAAGGGTTTATTCAAAGTTTGAGTGCGTGGTCCTGAACTGCTTTTGTTAGAGTGCTTTTGGTATACCCAAGATCTCATACAAAAGTCCTGCACAATCCGGTCAGGACAATAACCAGATAAATACTTTACCTTCCATTAGGCCCCATAGATGTTATAACTAAATCCTGTATCCTTCTAATAGCTGATGCTGTTTCTTCTCTATCTATCAGCCTTACCATTGCTGTCATTTTGAACTCTCCTGTTTTGTGTCATTCAATGGCCATTTTTTATCTTCCTCGCATCTAGATTGTAACAGTTAATAATATGATTTTGCAACTATTAATAACCCTAGTTAGATTATCTTTAAAATCATATTCTAATGTTCAATCAAAATAAGAACTCTTTTCAGGTGAGAATAAATTATCTTCATTTAGTTTCATCAGGGTCATCAACAGATAGTTTTGCCCCAATAGGTCTGTTAAGGAAACGGGGGGTACGCAGCTTATATCGACTGAGAATTGTGAATTTGAGGCAAAAATGAGAATGATTGATTTCATATGGTTCATGTATAGCTTCTTTTGGGTTTTCTTCGACCCCTTGGCAATGCTGCCTTGCTTCCGTGCAAAGGGAAAACAAAGAAAGGAAAAGAGGAAGGTGTGCTTACAGGAAAATGCCTAAAAGCTGTTGCTTAACATTTCGTCACAGTATTAACAAGAAAAATCCAGCATTAAGCTTTTTTCTAATTCCAAGCAAAGCTACTGAGCCATAGAGAAGAATGTTATGGCTTCAAGCAATCAGCAAGGGGACAATGATGGAAAGTTGTGGTTTCCTAAATCAGATTACCATTAGATTTGCTCGCAACATTTCAAACAAGGTAAGATTAGATTATTACTCATTGTTTTGATTTTTCTACTTTCTATTTACCATTTGATTTAGTTATTATGACCAATTGCCTAAAATAGTTTTGAAACCTACATTTTCACATGTACTTTGCAGGGAGGAAGTCAAATGATCTTGATCATCCAGACTATGCACCCTCCGTATTCCCTGACAAAGACACAAGATTAGCTTCCAAAACAAAGCTTGACAGATTTCAGAGGGTGCAAGGATGGGAAAATAGAAAATATGCAATTTCAGGGACAAAAAATCCAAGTCAAAGAAAATGCCACAGGAGGTATCCTTTCTGAAATAGCCGTGCCAAATGACAACAAAGAAAACCTGAAATCAAAACTAGAGAAGAATCTCAGTATCTCATCTGTTGAAGGAGATGATTCCAGGTGCAAGCTGAGTTGACTGAGTTGGTCAACATTAAGGGTACTCTTGAATTATCTAAAGTTTTAATAACAAACAAAAGAACTAAAAGCCTTGATAAACTAACATCAGAACATCAGATCTTCCAAACCCTGTAAAAGTTGCGCCAAAATTTATCAGTTGATCTGATCGCTCATTTATTTGGAATAACAAGGTCAACATACCTGACAGTATTTGCAAGATGCATTGATTGACTCTATGCCAAGGTTGGTTTTTGATTCATGGGCCAGACAGGGAATTCATATTTAGAACACTACCAGCAATATTCAAATCAAGATACCCAAGGCTAACATGCATCAATGACTGCTTTGAAATCAAAATTGAATACCCAAGCAACACAAAGCAATAACATAATGCTACTCAAGCTATAAAAAGTCCACAACAGTGAAATTTCTAATTGCATGCCTTCCAACAGGAAGTGTCACATACCTTAGCAAAGCATGGGGAGAAAGAGCGTCAGATGTAGAAATAATACATCATCTGATTTTATATCTTGCAAGAATTTTTTGCCAGGAGATCAACTGCTTGTATATAGAGGTTTTACACTCCATGACAACTTTGCATCTCTATGAAATGCAGAACTGATAACACGCACCTTTCTGCCTGCAGGTAAGAAGTCAACTACCTACTGATATGAAGTTGAGAACTCTAGTTCTAACATTAGGATTCATGTAAAACGTGTAATTGGCATTAAAAACAATTGTTAGCAAAGCACCCTAAAACGTAATGCGATACTGGCTATTTAGTATACAGTTGTTTAGGAATTTTTCACACACAAATTCTCCTTCTGTATACAGGTCTCTAACCTCTACTAGGTAACAGCCTAATTGATTTTACTGTGAAAAAACTGAAACAGTCATTGGTTTGGAGGCTATGTACCATGCAACATATATAATTTAACTTACACTCTTAACTGCGCTGTATTACTGTGATCAGCAGCCGGCTATGTTTTGAGGTCGGTCGGCCTATTTCCAGTTGTTTCAAAACAACATCCACAACTAAGCCTCGTTCTCATTAGTATACAGTTCTTGGAATTAAGCAAATGGGAAGCAAATGGTCAAGAAAAGCACAGAGAGAGAAAGAGAAACAAAGAAAGGAGGACATGAAATGTCATAAAAAATTTTTAAAATATCAAGGCTCATAAAAATGACCGTGATAGTCAAAGAGGGTAATGGAAACACAAAAAACGTCGCGAAAAAGGATCATAGTTGATAAATAGATCGCACAAGATGCATCTGGCAATCTATTTGTTAATTCTTTAAGTTAAATAATAATCTAACCAATATACGCAATTCATTTTGTATATCATTGTTGTAGTTTCGAGAATCTACTAGGGTGCTGCCTACCCTCCTAGGTTCAAGTTACCATTTCTATAAAAACTTGTGCAAGTCAGACAGGGTTCCTGTCTCCCTCCAGCCCCCTCCAGCCCCCTCCAGCCCCCTCCAGCAATTTATTACGACTGTTACAAGAAAGTTATTTACGTTATGCACGGCAATATCTTAAAAGTAGGGCTTACCTTTTCTGAATAGCACTTGACATCAAGTTGGTTCTGTTTTCTGATTAATGCAGAAACTTGTCTTTTACATTTACACTTTTTTTATAAGAACCAGTAAATTTAAGTTCAGGCTGACTGTTCTTAATTTTTTCGAAAATCTGAGGCTGGATTGTTCTTAATTTGTTTTTAATCTAATAGGGTGTAAGCAGTGCGAATGCTAGCTTTTTCGCTCTAGGGAGGTGTTCAGGCCTCATTTGCCAACAAAGTGAGTGAGACAACCTTCATTTGCTGAAAAGTTTGAATATTCGATGAAAAAGCACCCACACATCGCTAAAAATCCTCGATTTTGAGAAAGAACATTGTTCAAAATTGCATTTTGCAGAGCTCAGCCTCAGTTTGTTCTTAATTTGTTCCTAACTTTTGACCAATTTTGAGGCTCGTGTTCTTAAAAAATTGGTCTTATAAAAAAAGAGTGTACTTCGTTCCGATTCCATTTTTTGAAGCGAGGATTCAGCATGTGACTCCCATTGTCGAGAAAGCTTGATCTGCAATAACTGCCAAATTGTTCAGAAGATCCAGCAATTGACGTGGTTTTTGAAAGTTTTCTTCTTTTCCCCGAATACCTACTACTACTTTTGTCCTCTTTTCCCCAGGAGAATGTTGATATCACCTTATCGTTTTTATAAACATACGATTTACGACTCTATCTGTTTTCGATTTTATACCTATTTGAGACCATATGAATATTCAAGCATATCATGAATCAAAATCAACTTTAACTTGTCCCGAACAAGAAATTTTTACCCGAATATTTCTATCCTAAATATACAAGAGTATCTCTCTCCACCCCCCCGGAAAATAATTATTGTTTATCCTGAAACTGTCCTGAATTTTCTTGAAAATACTTTCCAATAATGTGGGCGATTTTCAAGAATATTGATGTTCGAAAATGGTAAAATTAAAGCATTAACTAAGCAAAATGGCCAGGCCCGAATTTCGTTGACAATTTGACTTTTTATCTGATATGACATGATTTTTTTTAACCAAACAGCGTGCTTTAAACGCGAACAATTTGCGGAACACTTATCAAACTTGAATTGTGCTACAGTGTTCGTATGCTTTGGCTTCCTGCTGTGAAAATACTGTTGTAAAGATTTCAACCCCTTGTTAAACATTTTTTAAGAATAAATCTAGGCCACGAACAACAAATTATGAAAGTCTTTAGTCTTTTTTGAACGTGACAAAGTTCTAGATGAGCCGTTTACCCTCGTTACGTTGGACATCCGTATTGTCTTGAAATTTCTGCCCTACTTTGTTCGGGAGAAGAATCATGACCGTCTTCCAGACATGCACTAGCTCCGCAGATCGATAAAAGAGACTGGATCGAGCTTCTAATGTGACCAGAGTGTCGCCATCCGAGAAGAGGCCCCAGACAGTGGCGGCCTGGCCCTTTTCGCCTAGGGGGGCCAGTATCAAAATGGTGCCCTCCATAACTAATACTATTTTATTTTTCCTGACAATATTGGCAGTCCAGGGGCGGTGCCAAGAAGTTCAAAGCGGGGGAGGGGGCTCTAGTTAATAGCTCTATTTGATTAAAAAACCAACATTGGGAAGGGTCGGCGAGAGGATGTCGGAGGCCCTTGGTATAACTCTGAATAGAGGCTTTCTTGCAAGCGTAGCAAGCTGACAATTTTTGCGACCACACCCTTTAGATAAGCTTAAGATACATTTCAATATATTTTTTGCAGTCATTTTCTTGAAATCGTTTAAAAATTCTGCTATTTTTAAGGCATGCTTTTAGTACGTTTGATTAATTCCAGTCTTAAAATGGATTTCCTTACTTTGTAATAGGGAAAAGAATCCACCCTATCGTTGTATCGTCGAGATAAATTGGTCCTTCCATGAGAAATGAAGCAAAGAGACAAAATCTACTGACCCCCACATGAGCATAGGGACGCAAATAAAATAATTTTTCATGGGGGTGTCAGGACAAGTTGGACCGACTCACGTACAAAATTGACTGTCTCTTAGAAGCCAATCCAAGCAGATAAACTAAATAAAAATGTGCCAAGAACATGTTTGGGGAACTTTCAAGAGACCCTACGATGTGGTAGAATGAGGGTTTTGATCTCTTTGTAACTGTTGTGTTCATTTGGCACCTTGGAGGGGAATCCAAAGCGGCAGATAAAATATTTACCTTTGTTTTGCTAAACTTGTACTTTGGGGCAGCTAAACAAGCTCAAAACAAGCATACAACTCAACTAACAGTCAAGGGGCAAATTAGGGGAGTGTAGGGTAACAAATTATGGAAAGAGTCGGTCCTAGCCAATAAGTGAAAGATTCCTGTTACTCATAAGGCTAGAAAGTGCGTTTCTAACATAGCTTTGAACGCATCATGTCATTTGATACAAAATGAAGTAAATATTCCATCGAACTTTAAAAAAATAATATTAAAGGCCAAACAAAACGCAACCGTTAAGAAAATTAGGCCCGACCCAACTTTCTTGTCAAAATCAATGTATGCCTCTTGAAAAAGAAGTCAATGAAAAATCATCTTGAAAAATCAATCTATGCTTTAGAAACACGAAGTCAATGTTTTGAGTTAAAAGTCGTCTGTTCAATTTATCCTTTATGAAAAAACCTAATAAGGGCTGGTTTCATTATGTTTAAGCTTTGAATGCACTTTTTAGCGTTATTTCTTGTTATCTTGTGCACTTAAACTGTACGTTCGTGGAAGTGACTTGAGATATATTGATATAACATATGGACTAATCTAGGATGAAGCAATTAAACAACCAAATTGTCTGTTAATTAGGTCTCTGAAGGCCAGCAGAGCCAAAGAGACTCTTTGAAAATCAAAATTTTCCCTGGAAGGGGGACATGAGTCCGGACACCCTAAACACAGACTGTCCCCTGACACCCTAAACACTACCCTGGGTACCAGAGCCGCAAAAATTAAAAAATAATAATTTTTTTGCTGCCGTTAAGTTTTTGCGGCTCTGGTACCCAGGGTACCTAAACACACAAAAGTGTTCTCCACACAAAAGAATTTAACTGTTAGTTTCCTGACAATCCTCTAAAAAATTGTTTAATTTTTTTCGCCCCTGGAAAAAGTATAAATGTTTTGTCTGGATAATACAGTACTGAAGGGGTACAAAGACGTGCCCTTGAAGTAGACTGTTCTAGGGGGTATGGCGGCGTGCGCCCCAATAAAGTTTTGAATTTCATGGCGTCTTCGTTGTCTCTGCTGACCTCCTAGAGGCCTAATAATCAGACAAGTCGGTCATATCAAACTTTTTTCGAGTTTTCGGCGCCCTATACAAGCTTTGGCGCCCCTATAAGAAAGTCAGCTGGGGGGCCTGGCCCCCCCCGGCCCCCCCTGCCAGGCCGCGACTGGCCCCAGAACAGCCTATGTGAGGAGACGGCCTTCTCTATCACCCCTTGCAATGTTTTCAGCTGCTCTGGTCTTGTTCTTTTTCAGCAATCATACACACAGCATTGCAGCTCTCACGTTTCCATATCGTTGAAGTATTGGTTTTGAGTAATGGCTTCTCGCTATTGTTTGGGACCCTCTTCGGCCTCTTCCTTTTGAAATTGAACGGGCTTCAAACTTTGGTGTTTCAAGACAATAGGAACTCGATCCAGTCTTTTTAATAGATCAGTGACTAGTTCCTGTTTCAGGGTCATTGTATATGCGCATTATCAATACAATAATTCCTTAAAAAATCCGACTTCAAAATCATTTTTCATTACTCCAGTTGTTTCAACGGAGGTACAATCAATGATCAATAATTTAGATGAAACAAAATCTGCAGATTCATATGATCTGCCCCCTAAACTAATTAAATTGAGCTCAGAGTCTATATTAACTCCGCGAACCTATCTTATAAATGCCTATTTTAGCTCTGGCTATTATCCTAAACTTCTTAAATATGCTAAGGTAATTTCTATATACAAATCGAAATGTCCATATGAAGTTTCAAATTATAGGCCCATCTCATTATTGCCTTATTTTAACAAAATATGTGAAAAATTAATGCATAAAAGACTCATAAGCTTTATAGAGGGAAACAAAATTATTTATGAGCATCAATTTGGCTTTCAAAAAGGCAAATCAACTTCTCTGGCAATTCTAGATATGTCTATAAAAATAGTAAACGCAATTGAAAAAAAAAGAATTATCTTGCTGCGTCTTTTTGGATTTTGCTAAAGCGTTTGACACTGTGGACCACAAAATACTGATTAAGAAACTAGATTACTACGGTATCAAAGGAATTGCACTAGAGTGGTTCAAATCATACCTAAGTGACAGAACGCAAAGTGTAAGCACTAATGGAGAACTGTCGGAAGACCGTCAAATAAAATATGGTGTTCCTCAAGGCAGCGTTCTCGGACCTCTGTTATTCTTACTTTTTATAAATGATATCCGATTCTCTTTCAGTATCTTAAACTTTCATTTATTTGCTGATGATACTAGTATCTTTCTTTCTGAT